ACCGCACACCGCCACCCAGTGGATCTAGATATGATAAAGAGTGCAACTGTCACAACCCCAGCCGCCAAAGTGCAGCGGGCGGGGGGAAATCTGGGAATTAAAATCCACACCTCTTAGAGTTGCCAAGGTTGAGAAACACTGGCTTAGCCTAATGTGAGAATGCAATCACTGAAATATTTCCCACTGCAGAATTTTAGCTCTGAGCAAACAGTTCCTGAGTACCATATAAAGCCTTAACAAGCCAGAGGTCCTTATCTATGAACACCAAATGTTTAGCCACCCCATGAAGACTCGTCAGGAGGCACGTGGTATCTTCAGGATAAAAGCAAGCCGAGGAAATAATTATCTTTATGTTCTCCTGCAATGTCTTACTTATGGCTTGCCACATATGACTCGGATTCCCCAAGGGGACCTGAGCTGCGGGACCGACCTCAAAAGATGCAGCAAACCCTATCAACTGACACACACAGAGGGAAGCACAGACTTCATTCTTTCACAAACACCCACTCAATGAAAAGCACAAATCAGCAAGAACACCATTCACAGACGCATACAAATAGCCGATTACAGGCACCCCTATACAATCGCACCAGATCTGAACAGGAATCAGTAGACTTTGGTTGGGTGAAAGGTCTGCGGTACAGCCAATCGCCGTTTTCATCTGCCAGGGCCCCACCCATCACCCCCCCACCCCGCCTGCGGTTCACAGCTATTTGCCAGCTTTGGTTTTTCTGCCCATCCAGCTCTCCGGGCAGGAAGAGCGATAGACGACCATTCATCAAGGCAGGTGCCCCATCTCAGGGAGCAACAAATTGGTTTCCCAGCGCACTTTGTGGGTTGCATTCTTGCTTGTGAAAGAGGATTCATCGATCTGGATGCCAGAGCAGGGCAGCTGGCAGCTCCCTCAGCCAGGGCTTCCTTTTATCCTTTCGTCCTCGCACTGAAGCTCTGCAGCTATAGGCAAGCCTGTTGGCCAGTGCAGAAGATCCCCGGGTCAGAACAGGAAGTCGGGGATGAGCTGTCTCAGGGCCTGATTCCCAGGAGACCTGCAGGGAACCCCAGATGAGCACCCGCTCCCTGTGCCTGCTGCCACAGGCACATTCCCGATAGGTGCAGTATGGCTCCATCCAACATCAGCTAGCAACTGCCTCTGGTCTCTGCAACATGCCTCCTTAGCCACAACCTCTGGCACTGTGAGCAGGCCACACAGGCTACGGCAGAGCTCCATATCCCCATTCTTGCACAAACAGGTGGGGACACCCTGCTTTTTGCAAGCCACGCACCACCAAGGCATCCAGCCTTCCCCCCCTCCCCCCCCCCCCCCCC